GCAGTCAAAATCAAACCGCCCCATGTAATAACAACCACAGTCGAAAATATTCAACGAAGTTATAAATAAAATAAATTCATCCTTACTGCAAACACCGTCCTCGGTTTAAACTCCGTAGCACTCCGTAGCTATCCGTAGCACTCCGTAGCAAACCCGACAGTATTTGAATTTGAATTATACATAAAGTTGCCCAATAACTTGCACTCCGTGGTCCATTGTGCTGGTAGGGTTGCCACATTGATTTCTCAATTTTAAAAGGGTTGTCAAAAACGTGTAATCATTAGAAACGCAAGTAAATCATTTCATATGATAAATCATTTGAAATGAGATTAATTCATTAATATATGAAATATTACTATCTACGCCAACAAGTCCAATACATTATTATTTTATCGAAGTATTTGAATCCCTCTTTCCCACAAATCCAATGCAAATCGAATTTATAATCAGATTTCTACAATTCCCACAAACAAACGAATTAACAAACTAACCTAAGTATTTCACGTAACCCTTCCAAACCTACATCACTAGGTCACGTGACTGACCGGCGTTCGTAATTCTAATCTCATGAATTGAAATCTATATAAAACTCAAACAAGTGATTTAAACTTTACCGTTAGATAATAAAGTCCATTTTTGCAAAACACAAATCTACTAAGATCCTTCAAATTAACTACCGTAGAGATTTTTGAATTGTTTGAATACAACGCGACGTTGGATCGTTTTAATTTAACTGCAAGAGCGATATTTTAATAGAGTTTTTAGTGTTTATGGCACGCTTTAGGGGTTTTAAAGTTTGACATTTGGTTAGACTAATCTCTGGTTAAGCGCTTTCGAGTGATTCGGCACACTTATGTCATTTGCAATTTGATTGTTGTACAGTTAAACTGGCTTTAGGTGTATTTAAAAATAAAACATGCTTGCAAAATTTATTGAATTCGGCATAAAATATATGAAACAAATACAAATTATCATCTAGTACAAAGTGCGCCATCATAGAACTACGATTTCGCAAAGGCGAAAATCAATTACCGATAACGAATAGGCCGTTGTCTCGTAACTAATATACCCGTATGTGTTTATGATCTATATTCTCTGCGACACAAAGGATTCATTGTCGGCATAGACTCAGCTTATGTGGAACATAATCAATAGCTTCATCTGTATCTAAAACTGTTCCATGTTTAATAACAGTTAAAGAGTCAATCTATAATTATTAAAATTTTTTGAAACAGGCGGGAAGCCAATCTACGACCACTGTTGCTCGAATACTATGATTTCTTTTTATTGTAACACGATGCTGGATTAGTATTATTTTCTATTATATTACGTAAATTAGAAAGAATAGTAGAATAACTTTCCTAAGCAGTTGTGCGAGTTTATTGATTCGGTAATTTTGCAATGAAACTGAAACAAACATTTGTATTATACATGTAAATAAAACACTTTAACGGTTTAAAACGCTATATATTAGTTAAACTTATTTGGAAATGATTTTTAACTTCGGCCCGACATTTCGGATGCTTTGCAGCAAAGTCTGCTTAAAAATTTTCTATAATTTACTTAAAGTAATTAATTGTCCTACTCGCTCTTTATTGTATTATCCACTCTTTTTTAGCATTTGGGTGCGAATCGTTAGGTACCAATTGTCAAACAGCCTTATCATCTTATGTGACACAGCTTAGCATCAACTTGACGTCGGCAAGCGGTGCTCGATGTCGGTCAGAGATGTCGGCGAGTGTCGTCCTGTCCGGTCTTTGTTCATAAAGCTTTCTAAACCCTATCAGAGCCTTAATGGTAGATCATTCCTTCTGTGGCTTTAAAAACTTCTAGTGTTAAGTAAAGTCTTTGATTCTCTTATTTAAAAAAGTATATATGTCTTATTATATATCATATTCGTGGTAATTAAAAGTTGATCCGAAAAAAGAGAATAATTTGAGTTTAAAATATTTTTCACAAAATTCACATGTTGACTTTATAAATGAATTTCAAACAAATATAAATTTAGAATAGAACAATTTATGACACAGGTGGGATTTGAACCGGCATCCACTGCTTTCTGCGCTGCTGCTCTATCTGTGTCGCAGAAGAAAATAAGAAACTAAAAAAGTGGTATAAAAATTCAATACACACGAAATTTTTACGCCTACTTTACGGAGTTGTATTACATTACAATATAAACAAGGAAATAGGACGTCAAAAGTGAAACGGTATTGGATATACAATTACTTTGTTTATTGAGCGAAGAATTTATACAATTATCACCTAAAACTACCGGGATACATTCAATTCTAATATATACATTATACTACTGAACACTACTTATCTGAGTATTTATTTACCTACTGTACTTGACTGAATTCTTGTAAAGGATAAAGAGATGGTTTTTGTATGTATGCAATAGCTATGTTTAAAATTAAGTAAAAAATATACGTTATTTTTAGTACATAATATAACTTATTTGACATTGTTTATTTTCTACAGCAGATCTAGATTACAATACGACAACAATTTTTGGTAATATTATAAATACAGCGTTGAGATACATATCATTGTCTTTCGGGCTGTTTGGCCGACGTGAGCGAGACGAATTCTTCGAGCAATCGAGGAGTTAACATCTCCTGATAATGCCATCCACACGTGATGGCGAAACGTCATTCTTGACGTCCTCTTCTCGCTCACGTCGGCCGAACATCCCGCAAGACAATGATATGCTGAACGATGGCCGTGAAAGCCCTACACGATTTATTAGCGTTGAGATGATTTATTAAAGACACAATTTTGTAGCTATATAATATTATATTTAACAAAATCTAAACAGTAATAGAATACAATTTATTGTTTTTACATTCACTCATCAAATTAAGCTTTTATGTTATCTAAATATTCTCTATTTAATTTAAAAATCAAAAATAGATTGAAAAAATTTTCGACCCGGACAGGACTCGAACCGGCATAGTCAGCTGTTGCGCTACCAATTGAGCTACCGAGTCCAAAAATTTATTTTCAATTGTTAAATTATATAGTACCATCATGTGCAATAACATGTGAAAAATATTAAAGTTTTTATATATTTTCTATCTAGTCTTATTTATATCTACTTAATCAATGCATAATTTTAGCGATTTAAAACTCAATTATATTACATGAAGTTATATCGTAATCCGCAAAAACTCATACAATTATATACAAATATATCTCAAGAAAGAAATTTTACACGCGAACTATGTAAGGTTAGAAAAAAAAAATTTTTAAAAAAAAAAAAAAAAAAAACCTTTTTTGGGGAAAAAAAAAAAAAAAAAATTTTTTTTTTATTTTTCCCCCCGGGGGAACCCCAAAAAATTTTTTTTAAAAAGGGTTTTGCCTTATGGGTGGTTTTTAAAAACAAGGGGAAAAAATTTTTTTTTTGAACGCCACTGGCGGCAAACGTTTGAGGTGCGATGGGAGATTGTTAAACAACTGTGCTCTATGCCGCTTATTTTTAAAAAAAGGGGGAAAAAACCCCGGAAAAAAAAATTTTTTTTATTTTTTTGAAAAATTATTTCACTTTTGGGTTTTTTAGAGAATGTTTTGTAGATAAATGTACATATAGGTAGTCTATGCGCGCTTCGTCTTTTTTTATTTCGCGTCGCCCTGCTAACATAACAATAAAGTGAGTCAATTCTTTGGCTAAATTATTTCTGTTAGTAAACAATACCATCTAAAGACATCATTTATTAAAATTGTTAACTGACTTATGTAAATTAAAAATCGATTATAAATTGAAAAAAAAAACGACTCGGGCAGAACTTGACTCGGTTTTTACAGGGTTCCGTGCCGATTTATAAATTAAAAATCGATATTTTTAAAAGTGCCATCATGTGCAATTACATGAAAAAAATATTAAAGTTTTCAAATACGTAACCTTTTGTAAGTTTCTTTAAAATATAGGGATGATGGCTGGACAGGACTTACTTACTTAAACTCCCGAGAGAGGCATGTCGTAGCGCGCATGCTAGCCCGGATAAAAGATCCAATTATAACTCAAATTTAACTAATTTAAACATCTATTACGTATGTGTAAAGTATTAATTCCTATTTACAGAACAACTACGTTTAACGCAGCCTTCGTTTTGACGCAACGCACATGAATAATTAAGTAACGCTCACATAAATACATAATTTTAATTTTACATTATGTAAATGATTATTTAGTGGAAATTTTTCGATGGACATAGCGAAGACCTTGCTAGGTATTACGTAAAGTGTTTAAACGTTTTAGTAGATTTACAATTAATATTTAATAATATAAAGTCTTATAATAGGGAATATTTATTAAAAACATTTTATTCCTCTACTGTATATTGGATACTTATTTACACAATGAGATTATTTAATCTATCGAGTAATTGATCTCTATATATAAGTTATTTACAAACATCTAAACAAGGAAATATAATATCTATGCTTAAATGACACTATATAATAATCTTAAAAATCCAACTTATTATTACGTAATCCTCTTTCTCCATGCTATTTATTCCACGCCAGAGGTGAACATTAAAAATCATATATTTTTGTAACTTACTGCTCTTTAAATACCAATACGTAATACGCAATAGCTTCTCAAGTATTTAATTGTCCATTTGTAGCCAGAAATGGGCTTTTTAAAAATCTTTTTTAATCATGTGAAATTTATCAGTCCGATTGTCGTAATGAAAAAAATTGAGTCGTAGTGCCAAATGCAACTGGCATTTGACATTTTGTGAAAATGACAAATTTCGAATCGTAAACATGAAATTTGATAATGAGCACATAAGTTGTAATGACTATGTGCTACTATTACTGCTACTGAGTCCTTATATTTAATTTGTTTAATTTATAATATACGTAATAAAAATGTTTAAAAACTTGTGACTGAAACAAATGAATATCGGAAGTTGCTTACTAGAATGGCTCGCAGAACGTGAACAGACAAACGTTTATAGACAGTCTCACAGTACTGTCCAATATTTCATTCCCTAATCGGAGAAACCTTCGTTGTTCGTATTATCAGAAGTTGGAGACGTCCCTGGTGACGGCACTTGCAACTGCCTGCCGTACATAAGCTCCGATGGGGGCAGAAACGAAGATAAGTACTCTGGTGGTGGCCTTATGACAGTTGGTAAGTAACCAGTGCCGCTGTAAGGAGGTGTCAAAAACCTTCTTGATGGGGAAAACTTGAAGCTTTGGTTCGAGAGGGGGGAGAAGGCTGATTTTGACTGGTAGCTTTGCATATATGGGGATTCTGGCGTCATGTACGACGACTCAGGACCGTTTACCATGGTCTCCATAGCAGCGACTACATCACCCTTGCATCTGGCGAGGATGGCTTCGATTTCCTGTAAGAAGATTAAGCTTTAATCAATCTGAATATTGTTTCACATACTAAATAAGGAATCTGGCTCTGGTTTTGATAAAAACAACATATCTTTTTTTTCTATTTTTAAGAAGTAACAGATAATAAGCGTTGGTAAAGAAACAAGAAGGTTTGAAGCAAAGGCGGAAAGAGGAAATGGGGGGAATAGTACGTAAACGATGTGTACTAATAACCCGGCCTTCTATTGGTGTCCCCAAAAGAATAATAGGTCTATTTGTAACTTGACATTTGTCGTTCTTGTACCTTAATTCCACGAACATGACTTAGAGAGCGCTAAACAATAAAAATATCTATTCCTCTAAGCCTAAATTTCTTTCTTACCTGTCTGCTTCGCCTTGGGAACACTTTAAGAAGTACATCAACTGGTGACTTATGGAATGGCGTGGAATCGTCGAGTGATTCGGGCATGAGAGCTTCTGGTTTCCCGCGCCTGTATTTGAAGCTAGAGTCCCATTTGTCGTCATCTTCTTTCTTTACCTGGACCAAAACGTGAAATTTTAAGATTTAAAAACTGTCTGTAGTTTACGCGAGTAGTACAATTTAAATAGAACACTTTAACGGTTTAAAACGCGATATATATTAATTAAACTTATTTGAAATTTATTTTAACTACGATTCCGATGCTTTGCAGCAGCCGTGGTCACGGGGAGACCTACCTTAACTAATTATAATGTGATTCCCGTGAAAACTGGTAAAAATACGTGATTTGTGTTCTGAAGCTATATTTTATTTCCAACTAACGCGCCGATCTATCCCCACAATTAGAAGATGAGTTCTGGTGAAGGGTCTCCAGGCCACTATATACCTTCAAATAAATGTTTCCTTTTTAATATGCCCTATTATCTTTAAAACAAAAAAAATCTTACATCATCCTGCCGTTCCTTTAGTGATAAATTTTCAGGCGTAAGCGATGGTTCTGAATGATCCAACTCTTCTTCTACGTTGAGTTCGTGGTCGGATGGGGATCTAGGGGGTGGAGAGGCGAGGGGAGACGTCTGGACGGGGGTCTTGGAGTCACGTGTCTCAGGTGGCGAAGGGCTTGAGCAGACTTCTGTGATGCGAGCCCGTTTTTGCACTGTGAACAAATCACACATAAGCAAAATTGTTAATTAAGTTTACAAATTCTGTATGTCAATGAATAAAATCCCCTTTCAGAATATCCAAAGCTAAAAAAGGAATATAAAAGCGCATCTTGTTTAGATATAATATAGTTTGAGTATTACATCTCTGTTTGTCTTCACTTATTATGTAAAAAAAAAATATCGGTGTGTTTTCTATTCGATTTAGTTTAGGTACAGCAATTCGTTTACGCTGTTGATGTGGCATGATATTGATTTGTGTTTTATAGGCTTTAGAATTACAAGAGGCTGACAAATCAATAATCCGACTAAATACTGTCAAGCATAATATAATATCATCGACATAATATAAACGAAAAATTCTTCGTATTACTTTGTATTTATTTACGTTGTCTCAAGTCATACTTTAATATTAAACAAATGAACGTTTGAAACACTTTTCGTGTAGCGCTCAAAAAGTACAAAAGCACGTAGCGTTAAAAATACATTCACCAACAAAAGTGTTTAAATTAATGAGAGCTACGTTTACAGAGGTTCTTTGGTAAATATTTGCTTTGGCAGTTTGTTATTTATTTTAAGTGTTTCTTTTGACGTCTACATTTTGCGCAGATGGATAAAAATTAATGGTAGTTTTAGCAGTTAATGGTCAGTAGATGTAGAGGTTGTGTGGTATATTTATTTTGTATACACCCTCATACATCTTTAAGAAAGAGAGCGAAGAGAATGAGTCTAAGAACCAAAAAGCGTGGTTAATTAGGGCCTACACCCTCCGATATCCTGAGGAACAGTTGTGGAAATTGTTAACGATAAATATGATAAATTATCTGTAGAAAACAGCAATCGTTCAAAGGCGTACTCAGTAATTACTTAAATTCAAGAGTGTGTTGCCATAATAGCATTGTTTTACCTCATACGATTATTTTAAAACCTATATGCATACTGTGTACAATAGAAACAATTTAAGCGAAGTTGTTCATTGTGTTCCGTGCAATTAGAAACCGACTCGTTCTCAGTCGCGTGTGCGAATTTAATGGTCGATCTTTATTGTTTTTTTAAGGATCAAGTGAGGGTGTACGCAACGTAGGGCTGTCAAAAATCCGTATTACGGGTTTAATTTTTTTACACTTTCAATAATAATTATAGTTGCAAATCTATTATTCATGAAGCCTAGTTCTTTATAGTCTTTAATTGATTCAATAATAATATTAATAGTACATAAGATGAATAATATAGCAGCGATAAAATATGGTATTTATTTTTAGTTGCGCATAATGTTACCATTATATCTAAATTAACTAAAACTGTCACATAAATATAGTTACATAATATATTTAGATAATTATACTTATGTATTAGACTTAATTGTGATTTAATTATATAAAGTTATTAATGGCACATTATACTATTGGCAACCCTGTGGGTAGGTAAATCGCAGGGAGCTCGAGTCTATATTCGATTACAAAATCGTACGAATAGTTCAATACAATATGCTATATTCGGTTTTGAGTGAAAAACAATTTTTTGTTTCTTATTTTTAACGAAAATGTTTTCGATGCAGATTTCAGGTTTTGTTTTGCGGGCCAGTGTTGGGAATTGACGAATTGTGCATTCTAAAAATTTATCACATAAAAAATATGTTTATTTACTTGAAAATGTATTTATAACTTACTAACTGAAGATAGTGAATATAATGTCATCTTTAAGTTAAGTTAAGTTTTCTCAACAGCTCTTTTTTTAGATTTTAATGCTAAAAATTAATAAAAGGCTAGCAAGATAAAACTTCTTAATGTATTATAAAAATGTAAAAAGACATTATATGCTACGTATCCCAACACAAAAACGGATAGATTAAATCAACCCACAAAGATCCAACTAAAATGAACAAGCTAAAAGAATGAAACGAACAAAGAGCCGAACAAAAAAATAATAAAACCCTCCCTCGCCAGCCGCCATACAAAACATACTGAATTTCATTAAAATAATAGACTATTATGCATCGAATACAAACACTTATAAAAATTCTGGCCATTTCTTTCCTCATTATGTGTGTGAGAGAGATGGAAATAGGGAATGCCGCGTGTGCGAGCGAACACAGTTATTTCTATACCACATTGAATTGTGTTTGATAGGACATCTGCGTGTATTATGTGATATTTGTTATTCATTGTGTTCGTATATGTGGGTGTTTTTAATAGCTATGTAAATAAATCTTTTCATATTAATTCCTACCTAAGGGTCGATTTAGAAAATTCTGTTTCTTTGTGACGAGAACAGGGAATAACTACACCAATGTGCTTAGCCAAATAAGTTTTATCATCGAAGGGAATAATTCATTACGTAACGTGTTGTGACACCACTCAGATTGGCTCCAGATTCGATTTTAGAAGACAAATTTGAAGTTATGGCCTAAATTAGTTCTTCGCTCTCTTTGAATGCTTAAATGTTTTTTTATAATCATTTCGTTTTTAATCTCATGTGAATTGTCTCGCAATTTAGGTCGCTTTAAAAGGTTGTATAACATTTTTATATTCTTTGGTACAAAAAGAGAGCTTAGACTTCTTTATACCTTCTATTTCATAAAGCCCTAGTAGGGATAGCTGATATATTCGAGTCTTTTGAAAATCAGTCTGCGGTACTAAGAGGCAAGAATTTATCAAGAGTTCAAGAGATTTTCCATTGGATACAGCATCTTTTCTGTTTCCTACAGTCTCTTGGTACTAGGAAAGTACAATATTGAGAGCTTAGGAGATATTTTTATGAATACTCTTCTATTCCCTTCTATCCCTTCTATTTCATAAAGTCCTGGTAGGGATAGCGGATATTTTCGTTTCCGTTGAAAACCAATCTCCGGTACTAGGAGGTAAGAAATTATCAAGAGCTTAAAAGATTTTCCAATTGAATGTTGCAGCTTTACAATTTCATATTATCGGCCACTGCCCTCTATTATATGGGAATTTGGAGGTGATGATGGAAGCAACTTTTCAAAACAAACGGCCACAATACATTCGGAACACAATACATTCACAGAGTAGATACCGTTCTCGTCTGCACACGTGATAATGTCAATCCGCAGATAATAAATACCAATAATAATTGTACTCAGCAGTGAAGTCCCGGAAAGCGATGAAGGTACAGTCGTGTTTACTCAGCACGACACAGTAATGCGTGGGTGATAAATCAAGCGCACAATGCCTCTGGCGGCCGGCCACGGTACTGTCGCGGTGTATTGTTCCTGGATTTAGTGATGTCTGCTCGCGACGGCCGACGTGTCGCAGTTAATACAATTATAGACATTTGCATCTGACTGTACATGCCTATGAAATGTTCAGGATTACCCACACGTGGATTTATCTGTGCGTGTTTTAATCTTATGACGTTTTTAGTTATCCGAAACGAAATTGTTCATTTAGATCCCGCGTGATCGAAAGCTAAGTCTTAAATAGTAAATATAATAAATATTTAGTATAAGTATTCTTCATAAGAGGCACAATTCGCAAACAGCATACAGAATAACTTTTGTCATGATTCCTTAGAGGTAGGTAAAACATATTAAAACCTATCTTGAACGTAGTCATTTAAGCTTTTTTAATTATACTTCATAATTCCTTTTAATAACTATATTTATATGGTATTATGTAAGTATGTTATCATGGAAGAAGAAATTATGGTATGAATGTTTCGAATTTGAGTCAATTTTATCAAAGTTTTCAGTTCGTAGTGTTCTTATATTTATTCTATCTGTATTAAGCAAATCAATAAATTGCTCCTATTACATTTCATGGCATATAGTTGCCTCTCACTCTCTCACATTATAACTGTATAAAACAAGCCAACATAAACACCCTTTTCGCATCACTTCAGAAGCATTAAATAAAAACTGCGGTAATTAGCAAAGTCCGTTGAAATAATAACGCAATTAGGGTTCATTTATTATTTGGGGGAGCCAGTGACCGCTCAAAGCTTTATAACTTTATCATTACACTAATTGTGGTGAAAGGGATAACTTTTCGATTGATTTAAATTTTTACATTCAGTCGTTTAATACTTCTTCGGAGGACAAAGCAACGACAAACTTGCTACAGCGTCGATTCTAATGATGTCGCATTGATTAAACTTACTTACAACCAATCAGATTTAAAATAGGTAAATAGAGAATTAAATAACCGAGTACCTACTTTAAAATACGTACTATATATACTTCATATTATAAATGTGAAAGTAACTCTGTCTGTCTGTCCGGCTTTAACTCCAAAACTACTTAACTGATTTAAATGAAACTTGGCACACAGATATTTTAGGGCTTGAGAAAGGACATCGGCTATTTTTGGCAAAAAAGGTCGAAAGGGGCTGAAAAAGAGAATGAAAATTTGTATGGAAATTCGTGGTTTTTGAAGCTTGAACAATAAAACTTTCTTCTTTCGCATTTTGGGAATAGAAGTGGAAGTGGAAGTGGGACTGGGAGTGAGTGTAGGCATGAGAGTGGGAGTTAGAGTAGGAGTGATGTGAGGTGAGAATGTTGGGCTGAGGGCTGCCTTAAATGCGCCCTTACCTAAATTAATAAAATAGCCTAAGTAATTAAAAATTCTACCCCAAATCAACTATACTAAGCGGACAAAGGCACGGGCACAGCTAGTATACAATAAATCTTATATCATTATCAAAGAGCTACAAAAGTGCTACGATGTGCTACGACGTTATGCGGCTGTCGGTGTGTGCTATGACATAATATGTACTGCGTAACGTTTTAATTCCAGCGCCTGTAACTCTATACTAATTTACTAGCTGTGTCAGCGCCTTCGTCCGCATAGAATAGTTGTTTTGGGAACACAATTTTTTTTTAGCAAACCTCTTATACTTTATAAATTTAAGCTCACCCACAACGTCGTTCTCATCCCGTCGGTCTTGATAGTTAATATAAAATCATCTCTTTTATACATATATTTGAGTAGGTATCTTGAAACCCACGGAAATGGATAATTTACCCCATTTCCCGCTACATCTTTGCTTCTATTAGT